TGCCAGGCCTTGGACCAGGGCATTTCATAGAAATTGTGGCATTTTGTCTTCTAAACTGTCCTGTGGGATCAAGTTTTATTTTCCCCATTTTATAGACAAGCAAACAGAGGTTTGGAGAGATTCACTAACTTGCCCAGTTTAGTCACTGGGGGGCACAGACACAGACCCGGGCCTGTCTGTCTCTCCATGACCTTGCACTGTGTCTGCAGACTGTGAAGCACACATGTGATGTGGGTCTGGCTCTGGAGAGGCACAGGCCGGGGTGTTCACCTCAGTTCCTGATGTCCGCTCCTCTTCACATAAGCAGAGTCATTCAGGAAGGTGCTCGCTGCTGGAGCTTCCCTTCAGCCCTGCTGCAGGGAGGTCCCTCACCAACACAGACAGGCGAGTCTACAAGAGGAGCCTGCTGTGAACGCATGCGCGCTGAAAACACCCATCCCTGGCGGAGGGGGGACAGACCTCACATTCATTGGGACTGGGAGTGGGAAAGACACAGGTTTCCTGTTTATGCCCAGCACAGTTGGGGAAGGTTATCATTATCCTGATCTTAAGATTTAGCTTGGCAAGGATTCTGAAAGGAATGGAATTTAGAACTTAGAGCCCCATAAGTGTGGATATTTTACATCTGGAAAGCACTTTAGACATATAAACCATCCTCTCAGTGTGGCCACTGGGAAACTGATGCCTAGAAAGAAAACTAGTTTTCCCTACCGTGGATCTCACAGTGTCTGAACTGGGTTGCAATCCAGGCCCCCCTTACTTCCAGGCCCCCCTCTACATAATGAAGTCCAGAGCTTTTTACAACCCAAACCCCGGTTAATTATTTACTTCCACCTCAAGCAGTCATTATCCTGCATTCCATGTCTGGAAAAGTACCGTATCTGCCCCAGTGCTTACACTAGTGAGTGATTAACTATAGTTACCCATTTTTATTGATCAAAACCACAGACACTCATCAGACTTTCTGATTCGTCTGAGACATAACCAGGTTGCCGTATTGATAAAGAAGCTCAAAGTTTGGCCTGAATCTAGGTTTTTAAAATGTCAAAAGATAATGATCCTCACTTGATATATTATTACTTAAAAAACCCCCAGGGACTTATTAGAGAGCCCTGAGTAGGAATTAGTGCTGAGCGTGGTGCTCCTGCTTCCCAGTGAACGTTTTGGTTCTAGAAGTCCCACCTAAGGCTGCCTTCTCCCCGCTCCTTTCTCCTTCAGCATTTAGTGCTCCCATAGGGCCTAAGGCCATTCATCGTCAGGTTTATATAAACTGTTTCAGGAAGAGAATAGAGTGATAATACATATACTTCTCCACCCTTTATGAATCAAATGACGTTGAACCTGAGTTTAAAAGATATTTTAGATCAACGGCAGAAAAATAAGTAGACCGAACTATCTTAGGTCCAAATATTTACAAAAGTGTATAACACATAACCACATCAAAGTGTTTCTCTTTTTACCTGGATTTCCCACATGCCCAAATGCCAGGCTTGCACACCATCAGCTCTGAGAGTCTAGAATTTGTCATTTCAGGCTCACTTAGAAAATGATAAACGGAGGTACAGTGTTTCAGCAGGAGACACTGCCCGTCTTCCACCCGGGGTCAGTGCCCTGGCACGTGTGTGACCTTGTGAGTCACAGGTTGTGAGCCTCCAAATTAATATAAGTAACTGGAAGGATCTAAAACTTTTCTTGATTCTCATGACAACAGAGGAGTTGAGAAAATCCCACTTCTAATTCTGATTCAATCTTGGGAGAATAAAAGTTCTCTTCAACTGTACTTTTTTTTTTTTTTTAAAGATTTATTTATTTATTTATTTATTTGTTTATTTATACAAGCACTGGGTACAGTCAGAAGCGTGGGAGGGTGAGAGAATCCACCAGAGCCAGAGCGGGGAGCAGAACAGGTAGAAGGAATGAAGTACACTGCTCAGGGGAGCAGCTGGCAGCAGGAGAGGTCTGCGTGCCATGTGGGACCCTTGCCGGCAACTGGGGATCGAACCGGCACTGCAGAAGCTGCAGCCAGCTTTGCAGCCCAGGGCTCAACCACTGTGCTCCCAGGAGAGGCCCTTTTCAACTGTATTTTTATTTTTATTTTTTTTCAAGATTCAGTTATGCATATAAGAACTGGGGTGTAGCCAGAGGTGCAGGAGGTGAGAGGATTTATCAGAGAGAGAGTGGGGAGCAGAACAGGCAGATCTACTGAAATACACTGCTGTCCCCTCAGGGGAGCAGCGGGTGAGACTGGAGAGGTCTGCTGCGCCATGTCAGTAGCTCCCTGGTTGGGGATCAAACTCGTGCTGCAGTGGCTGCTGATAGCTTCATAGTACTGAGATTTAACTCCTGCGCCAGCAGGGAGGCTCCCTCTTAGAATGTATTTTTAAAATGTGAGTGATGATTTTCATTGAGACCTGTTCATTTCTGTGTCTTTCTGACGATGTCTGCAGCGAGAACAGTCTAGTGCTCTGGCAGCTGCAAAGGTATTTATTGTTCAGCCTGGCAGCTGCTTTTCCTGCAGTCACACTCAGATAACAGACTCTTGAGTTATCCTTTCAGTCTGGAGCAGACAGTGAGAGAGGCCCTAGCCCTCATAAGGACCTAGCCCCGGTCACTAGGCAACTGGACACACTAGGAGTGGGATGGGCCCAGCACTGCTGGGGTGTCTGTTCTGTGGTCCAAGCACCCATGAGCCCAGGCCCATCACAGCAAAGCCATGTGTGGGGGACATGCAGCGCTGAGAAGAGGGGGGCAAGGGCCCTATCTCGGTCCTCTTGATAATCTCAGGGGATCAACTCCTTTACCCTGCTTGGTGGCTCAGCTGGGTCTGTGCTGTATGTGGACCACTCACGCTAATGAGAGGCAATGATCCTGCCAATTACCGGTTGTCCCCGGAGAAGGGCTCAGTCCTTGTTAGCCAGGCCCGGCTTAGGGAGAGCTCCGTTTGTACCTCAGGGAGGTGAGGGGGTGTCTTGGGAGCTGCTGGGGCTACACACTGAGTCCTGATCCCCTTGAGGAAAGTGCTTGACCTCTGGACATCACAGCAGGGAGGTCTGAAAGGGACACTTGAGTTTTTCCAATTCAGAACTGAACCACAAGGGACATTCTTTTTGACCAATTGTCTTCAGCCCTGATGAGACAGAGAGGGTTTCTCATGGTCAGATTACCCAAGTATTAGCCTGTGTTAGGGCTGAAACCTGAGACTTTCCCACTGTGTTACCTGAGCAGGGTTGGCTCCATATCAAATGTAATTAGATGGTGAAGTTCACTTTATCATAGAAAATGGTGATTATGCAAATGTGGGCCACACTGTTAGAATGAGCTTCAGGTCTGGATGTTGTGTGTTGGTTTGGCTTATGTTTACTAATTTCTGAACTACGCCCCTTCCTCCAGAGACTCCAGGCTGATTAAGGTCTGCCCAGACTAAACGGCCATACTTCCTCCCTTCAAGAGCCTTGAGTAGGCCCAGATCTTGACTTGCAAACTGTGTTCTCTGGCGTCCTCTGGGACTGCCAGGTGGAGGGGTGTAGCAGCGTGCTGGACCCCAGGGTTTGACTAGAGCATCTCTTTTCCTTGGTGAATAGATAGAGCAGGTAAACATGCTTTTGCTGAAGATAAGATTGCAAGGCTAACAAAGTTTGGAGAGCCACTGCCCAGACCACAGGTGGCTGCTGTGAATGTCCATGTATATGTATTAGATTCTCATAAATCATTCCTATGCTCTTTTTCTTCATAGGAATTTTTAAAAATTGTAAATCAAGGAACATGAGAGAAATGGGGGAAAAGGTTCACCTCTGCCTTTTCCCCTTCAGGTTGGCTCCTCGAAGATAAGCTGTGTCAAAAGATGGACATGTTGTCTCACATGCCTTTCTCTGTCTGTGCTGATAACCTTTACAAATATTTTCATTGTGAAAAAATTGCAGACATGCAATTTTGCATCCCATGACCGAATTCCAATAATTACTCAAATTATACACTTACTTCATCTACCTCTTTCTGAAATTTTCTTGTTTTCGCTTTTGCTACACTTGCTACTTGGCAACCTTAAAATGATTCCTCTCTGGCACTTTGGTCTCCTCCTTTTCATGGCTACATAGTTTTCCACTAATGTTTGCACTGTTGTTTACTCAAATATTCACCTGTTCTTGGATGTTTCAGATGTTTCCAATTTTTTTTTTGCTATTTCCAATTTTTTTTTGCCATTCATAAATGACTGTAATGAATGTCCTTGTACATAAGTCATTATAGATTGGTGCATTTATTTCTGTAGGGTAGATTGTCTGAAAGAGTGATAGCAGGGTCATGGGCTATGTGGATGCTAACTTTTATTAAGTATTGCTAAAGTGTAGTCTCAAAAGGTTTTAGATACACAGTCTCCCACTGACAACATATGGATGTGCCGTTTCCTCATATCTTCAGCAGCCCTGGTTGTTATTGATTACTCCTTAAAAATGTTGCAAATAGGGCCTCCCCGGTGGCGCAGCGGTTGAGCGCTGGGTTGTGAAGCTGCCCGCAGCCTCTGCAGCACTGGTTCGATCCCCGGCTGTTCCCCAGCCACCAGAGGAGGGTCCCACATGGCGCGCAGATCTCTCCTGCAGCCCGCTGCTCCCCTCAGCAGTGTACTTCGGTCCTCTGCCTGCTCTGCTCCCTGCTCTGGCTCTGGTGAATTCTCTCACCCTCCCACGCTTCTGACTGTACCCAGTGCTTGTATAAATAAATAAAATAAAAATAAATAAATCTTAAAAAAAAAAAACCTAAAGAACTTAAGAAAAATTACCATTTAAAAAAAATAAAAAAAAATAAAAATGTTGCAAATATCTTTTGTAGAGATGGTATAAAATTGGTATTTTATGCTTCCAGGAAACATTATCTTTCTGCATTAATTTTATGAATTACAGTTTTGCAGTCATTATCTGGGGGAAGATAGCCAGGCAGAACATCTGGAATAAAAGGCAAGAGGGAAATATCTTTGAAGATCAACCACTGTTCTTTGTTCCCATTAGTTTACACAGCGGAAATCAGGTGCTGGCCGCGTGGTGCACATCTGCAATCTCCCTGAAGGGAGCTGCACAGAAAACGACGTCATCAACCTGGGGCTACCCTTTGGCAAGGTCACTAATTACATCCTCATGAAGTCTACTAATCAGGTGGGTTGGCCACTTTCATAGTATCATGTGCTTGATGAATGAGAGCTGTAAATATATGTATATATACATATGTATATATATATTTTTAAATAAAGAAGCTCATCTGACATAAAGAGGTGATACACAGCTGACCTTATGTTGATGATGGTGTTTTCTTTCCCCTTGTTTCACCCACCTGCTCTTGTGGTGGCCACAGGTCCTTCTGAGTTGTGTAGCAGTGAGAAGGTACTTTGGAAGGAGGTGTCCATTAACTTGGAAAAGCTAGTTGGCTTCCAAAATAGAAATCCGGGCCTCCCTGGTGGCGCAGCGGTTGAGCGCTGGGTTGCGAAACTGCCCGCAGCCTCTGCAGCACTGGTTCGATCCCTGGCTGCTCCCCGGCCACCGGAGGAGGGTCCCACATGGTGCCCAGACCTACCCTGCCACCCGCTGCTCCCCTCAGCAGTGTACTTTGGTCCTTCTGCCTGCTCTGCTCCCTGCTCTGGCTCTGGTGAATTCTCTCACCCTCCTGCGCTTCTGACTGTACCGAGTGCTTGTATAAATAAATAAAAAAATAAAAATAAATCTTAAAAAAAAACTTAAAAAACAAACAAACAAAAAAAACAAAATAGAAATCCACGCTCTTGAGTCTTTTCACTGTGTTGGCAAACCTCCGAGCTACTGCTACAGCTTAGCTTCAGAAGATACGATTTTTGTATCATATCTGATGGCCTAGATTGAGGCCCCGCTGAGGACTCACTGGGAACAGGTTTTCTCATTGATCCTGGGTGCGAGCATCTGGGGCCCTTGGGTCTGCTAGCAGGCGCGTAAATGAGGAGGAATTGATGGATGCCTGCTAAGTGTAAGGAACTAAAAAGAACCATTTCCTATGGGGATTGACTGAATGCCACATTTCTGTAGTCAAAGGCGAAGTCTATACAGCAAATACCTAACAATCAGAACACAGAAAGTCTTCACTTAACACCATGGATAGACTGGAAACCACAGCTTCAGAGAAATGACTATAATTACAGCAGGTGCTGGAATAAAGTCCTTTTGTTCTGTGTGGGCTGGGAAACTTTTCTTCTCAACATTTTAATGAAATGACATTGAACAAAATGACATTATTCATGGAACTGCTGTATTTCATCTGTTATTTTTAATAAGTAGTTTTACTTTATGAACCAGCAGAACAGGCAGAGGAGAACCTTTGGAGACTCAAAACTACATCAGATCATTGGTCTTCCTTCATCAACGAGGGATTAGATTACTCACCTTCGCCCTTTCTTCTCGGGATTTTATTTTGGGTAGATGTCCAAAACTAGCTTGCAACATTAATGCAGTGAGAGTCACTTGGTTAGTATTTTTCCCATTTGACAAGTGAGAGCTAGAGGTGGCGACATGCTTGCATCATAAAAGATGTATTAGAAAGCTGGGTGGCCACCTTTGAAATAAAACCCTAAAGAATTTTTACTTCTTAGTGTCCCATACCTCTGCCTTAGACTGTGACAGCCTGGAGAAAAACATCTAAAATTTTAAAATAAGTATGAGGGAAGGAGGGGGGCGGGCTTGTTCAGCCCTCGCAGCTCAAGCAAATGGGGAAGTTGGGACCCCCCCAGCAGGGGCCTTTGTCACAGACCAGTTTGCCTTCTCAACCTCAAGGGACTGGAATCAGCACATTTCAGTATAGCATAAACCAATCAACTATGAGAAACAGCAGCGCAAATCTAGTACAGCACTACTAGTATAAATACCAGATCAGTCAAGAGAGTTTGTCTAGAGACTCTGTAGACACCAATTGGATGGAAAGGCCCGTTTTTTCTGTGTTTTAGCTGAAGAGTAAAATAAAAGGGGAAAATGCTGTGGAAAAGTCACTGACAAAGCAGCATGGCCTTCCTTTAAGCCTAGGGAACCGCTGAGGTTTTTATTTTTAGAATATTTCTTTCTTTGCAAAGAACATGGGAGCTCAGATAACCAGCACTTGGGTTTCTGCCTCCTGCTGTCACCGCCACCAAGTCACATTTCCCAGGGATCAGCCCAAGGTCACCTGTGCAAAGACTCACACCCTTCCGACCCTCCCTCTAAGAGACCTGTGGGTAACGCATCCTCCCACCCCAGAGGAGTTCCTGTGGCGTGATGTGGCCCAGGATGGACACCCATAACTGGGAATAATGTTTGGTAACCATGGGGATCAGGAGAGGGGCCATCTTATAATAAGCTCTTTTGGTGAAGTTAATAAATAGGTCTCTTTGAACAGATGGGATCAAAGAGAACTCCTCCTTGTACTGATTTTTTTTTCTTTTTATTGAGGTATAAAATGCATACTCTAAAGTGCACTAATCTTAAATGTACAACTCCATTAATTTTTTTACATGTGTACGCCCATGTAATTACCATCTAAGTCAAGATAGAGGGCTTTTGGAGAACCCCAGAAGCTGTCCTCATGTCCCTTTCCAGTCAACACCCCACCCTCCACCCCAGAGGAAAGCTCCACTCTAACCTCCATCACCATCGAATCATTTTGCCTTTTCCTGAACTTCATACATGTGGGACCTGCCCTTGTGCTGAGTTTTGTTTAAGAACATTCAGATTGAGCCCAATGTATGTCATTCCTTTCTTTCCTAGGCTTTTTTAGAGATGGCGTACACGGAAGCCGCCCAGGCTATGGTCCAGTACTACCACGAAAAATCTGCTGTCATCAATGGTGAGAAGTTGCTAATTCGGATGTCCAAGAGATACAAGGAATTACAACTGAAGGTAAAGCATTCTCTAGTTCATTCAGTCATTCAACAAACATCAGCGTGACACACCTTGCCTGGGATGCAGGAGGGAAATACAGGAATTACCCAGAAATTACCCACTGCCTTTGAGGATCTAACATGAGAAAGCAAATCATTTTACACGGCAAAATGAGCTAAGTCCAAAATGCCTGCGACACCATGAATGACTCCTGGGACCCTACGTGGATTTTACAGGGGAAGGCTTGGAGGATGAAGTAAAAAAGGGGAAGGTGGCTGCTTTTCAGAAGTGGGACACACCCCTGACTACAACCTCCCTCCCTCCCCATACAGGTCATCAGTAACTGTTCTTCTGTCACCCCCAACCCCTGATCTCTTATTCCCTCTTCCACGCTCCCTGTTGATATCTCACGCCCCTCAGGAAACTTCTAAGCAGCACATGACTGATGTGGCCACTGTGAGAATTCAGGGATGATTTCAGATCACTCCAAATGGGGCTTTTATGTTTGTTATGGACTGAGACACACCCTCTTTCTCTCTCTCTCACATTGTTTGTGAAGTGTACATAAATCACATAAACCATCATCAAAGTCAAGAAATTGGACATGGAGAGCACCCAAAGTCCCTGTGACAGCCTCCTCCTGTCGTTCCTTCCCTCACACTCCTGACTTTGAGGAGGACGTTTTCTTGCTTTTTCCTTATAGCTCTACCATGTGCCTACGCCTCCCTAAACACTATAGTTTAGCTTTGCCTATTTTTTTGCTTTGTGTGAATGGAATCCTGCTGTGTTCTTTCACACCTTGCCTGGGATTCAGCATCACGACACCCATTTCACCCACCTGCTGTGTGACTATAGGTTTGCGTGTCTGTTCTCCCAGGGACAAGCATTCCACTGGGGACAGTCCTACCATGAATATCCTCAAACACGTTGTCCTGGTGTGTTAGTGCGTAACTAAGGGTAGGTACATAACTAGGAGTGGAATTGCTGGCTCACAAGGCATGTGGATCCTATTACTGGAGGATAGCAAGCTCTTTTCAAGGTTAGCAGTCCCAAATTTACACTCCTACTAGTAGCGTCAAGGAGCTTTCATTCGTTTAAATTCTTCCTAACATTTTTGTCTTTTTTGAATTACACATTTTTTTTGCCGGCCCAGGGAAAGTGTAATGGTTTGTCATCGTTTCCTATTTTATTTTTGTGGTTATTTTTTCATGTTTCTTGAAGTTAAGCACTTTCCATATGTGTCTTGGTTATTCCATCTCGACCTTCTCTGGTGGGACATTTCTTTTCAAGTTAGCTCATGCGTTGCATTTGGATTGTGCCTTCTTGCTGGTGTGCAGGGTTCTAACTGGAGCACTTAGTCCATTGGAGTTACTGTAATTCACGTTATATTTGTGTTGGAATTTACCTTCTCATCCTGTGCGACTACTGTCCCATTGAATAGTTTCCAATGCACTTCAGCTCATCCCACATTTACTTAGAGTCCTTTTTGTTGATAACCCACAGCCCTTAATCTACCTTGAGGTTTGAAGTCAGAAGACAAAGGCTCAGTGATTGTTTCTAGTTAGGACTACGATTTTGACAAGTCTACATATGTAGATCTGTAATATGTCTACCAGTTGCCAATTTCTGCTTTGCTTGCATGATTGCTTCTGAAGTTCCTTTGCCAACAGTTCTGCTTCAGGCAAAAACTGGCAGGGTTTTTTTTTCCTGACTAATGAAAGCATGTTGCTTTTTTCTCAACAAGTCAGAGATTCCACTCCATTCTGTACTCAGCCAAAGTTCCTGTTCTCCTGGATTCTCCCCTGGGGACTAGAATCCAATTTCTACCCTGCTTTCCCAGTAGAGCTCTGGTCTCCAAAGAAGGTATTGTCATAAGTTTCTAATTAGAATTAACAGCAGTACTCAGCTTCTTAAAGCAAAGTTCCAGGGCAGTGCAGTACCTTGCTGGGGACGATGATTTGGAGAGGTTCAGGGGAGTGGGCTAAAGAGATTGAGGGTCACCATCTGCTTTCAGCAAATGTGCGCTGAGTGCCCCTGCTGCGGTGCCAGTGAGCTGGTGGGGCGGGGTTGCTTCCCGACTGGTAGAGGAAGGACAGGTCCACACAGGTGTGGAAGGTGGTGACCCCCTAGGCTCTGCCCCTTCCTGCGTGGGTGCACTTGGGCCAGGTGTTTAGCCTCTGTTTCCTTGAGTTCTTTGGTTTTAAGCACTTTTCTTTTTTAGGTTGTCTCTCTGAGTCTCACAATCAGTCAGCCTCTCCTGTGAGGTGTGTGGGGTGGATAATAACAGTAATTATAACAGTACAAAAATAATAGCAAGAATAGGTACCTTTAATTGAGCCCTGGTTCTCTGGGTCAAGCACTGTGCCAGGCACTTACAGACACTACTGTAATCCTGACATCAGGCCTGCCAGACAGGTATTATTATCTCAGTTTTACAGATGAGGAAAATGAGGCGAATAAAGGTTCAGTATCACACCCAAGATCCTAGCTGCTGGCAGAGCCATGATTAAAACCTAGAACTGTTTTGGCTTTCCATTCTATGTGCATCTCCTTATTGTGATCTTATGCCCTCCATGTACACGTGACCAAACAGAGGGGAAGCAGGTCATTTTCGCAGAGCCACCCAGTCAGCAAGCAGCAGAGAGTATCCTATATCCTATAGAACTTCTCAAACTTCAATGTGCATGTAAATCGCTTGCAAGTCTTGCTAGAATTTCTGATTCTGTGGGTCTAGGGCAGTGCTAAGATTTTGTAGTTCTGACAAGCTCCTAGGAGATGCTGTTGCTGCCAGTCCTTAGAGCATGTTTTTAGCTGTAAGGGTCTAGAACACATTGTTCTCTGACCTTTAGTAGGGATTTTCCACCTCCACCACCTCCGCCACAAGCTACCACTCGGGGTTCTTATGAAGGTAGCAGGGGATCACATATATGAAAGCATCTGGAAGCATGTTTAATTACATAGTAATACCTACATTATGGTCCCTATGATGACATGAATCAGCTGGGATGCTTGTGCAAGACAGAAATTCATTTCAGGGAAGCTTATTGCTAAAGTTAAACCGGGAATTTATTGGCTTATGGCCATGAAAAGTCCCGGAGTCACCTTGACTGCAGGCACAGCTGGATTCAGGGCCCAGGTGAGACTGAGCCTCAGGAAGAGGCTCTCAGCGGCCTCTTGTGTCTCAGGGGCTCCTGGCAGCCACAGGCTCTGTCCTGTAGGTGGCGCAGGGGCCTCAGTGACTCCAGCCGCTCTGGCTTCTGTCCTCTCCTTTCCTTCAACAGGAGAAAGGCCCCATTCTCTCCAGGAGCTTCCATAAAGCTGAGAGTCTCTCAGAGGGACCTAACTAGAGCATGTGCCCTGGCCTGAACCACCCTCTGAGGTCGCACTGTGACAGTCCCAGGTGGAGGAGGGACTGGCTAGCAGGGAGGTGACAGCAACATTCTAAAGAGACCACCACAGCCCCCTCTCCCCTCAACCACCCCCACCCCAGGGCTGGCAGAGGTTGAGGGGAGTGTTGACAGGCCTTTCACCTACCAGCGGAAGTGGTGGGAGTGAAGGGCGGGGTTGCTCTATTTCTGCTCTCCTCACTGGAGCATTTCCTCATGCCTGGCTCTGTCTCCCCTTATACTCCTTGTGGGAGGGAGGGCTTCCCCTCCTCAGGGCCCTGGGGCAGAACCTTCTATGTAATAGTCATCCAGTAAATGCACGGACCGCATGAGGAGGAGGAAATCTGAAGGAACGATAAAAGCGAGTCTCCTTTCTGCAGACCAGGTCAAGAAGATTGAGCAATTTTCTGGATGGCTCTGTAGGCACTTCTCCAGTGTCCCAGAATCTTAAATGCAGATGAGAACTTGGGATAATTGAAACCCGTGTCTCCCAGTCACTGCATCAGTGTTGTCACTGAGGGTTTCTTCTTCATAAATTCCCATTTAGTAGATTTGGAGTAGGAATGAGGCTCCCAGGTGGTTTGTGGGCCAAGGGTCTGGTTTCGGGTTTTAACAGCCTCCCAGCCACAGACAGGACCCCTGGCCCTGAAGAGCAGTCTCACAGGCGGCTCATGATGCTGTTGGAGAGGCAAGTGAGGGTTGAGGGTCTTCTCCACAGGACTGATGGGCGCATGGGATTAGCGTGAATTGAGAATGCTCATTAGTGGAGAATGTGCTGCCTGGGGTGGGGGTAACCAAACTATTCTTGTGCAAAATTATACAAGATTTACGCCCAGGGGCTCCTAGAAGTTCAGGAAGCAGAGTGACTTGGCTGTGTAAAGAGGGGAGGGATTGCTAGGCAGGGCCTTGAAGGGTGAGGAGAATCATTAAAGAGAGAAAGGGGCAGGCCTCCCTGGTGGCGCAAGGGGTTAAGATGCAACCTATGAAGCTGTCCGCAGTCTCTGCAGCATGAGTTCGATCCTCTGGCTGGCCAGGGAGCTACCCACATGGCACAGCAGACCTCTCCTGACTCACCCGCTGCTCCCCTCAGCAGTGTATTTCAGTCGATCTGCCTGTTCTGTTCTCTACTCTGTCTCTGGTGAATCCTCTCACCCCCAACACCTCTGGCCTGTACCCCAGCTCTTGTATGCATAAATAAATAAAATAAAATAATAAAATAAAAAAGACAAGTAACTTTAAAAAAATAATAGTAAAGAGAGAGAGGGGGGCTGCCAAGTAGAAGGAGAAGGCTAAGAAGAGACATAGCGGCGGAAGGCATAGAGGTGTAGGGTCAGTGACAGGATGTGACTCTGACAAGTTCAGGGCTCACCAGGAAGGTCTCATGGTCTTCCCAGGACTCCTGAGGCAGGTAAAACAGCTGCAGAGGGGTCAGAGGGCAGGGAACTATCTAGCAGCAACTTTTATCTTGGCCCAGTGCTCCATGGCTTTTGATCAGTAGAGCCAGCCATGCCCTGAAGCTTTTGGTGGATGCCAGCTGGACCTCTTTATCTCACCTTTATAGGTGGAGAGAGTGAGTCTGCCACAGGCAAAGCCTTGACCCTAGGTGACCCCATGCCAGCTGGAGGCAGAGCTGGGCTGCTTTTCCTGGGCCGAGATTCCCAGGACTTCTGTCTCCCTCTGAGGACGCCACACTCTCGGGCTGATCAGGGCCCAGAATCTCACCCTTAGCTTAAAGGCAGCAAGATATGGGGACTCTCGCTTACATTTTGAGGTGCTGTAAGTAGTTCTGGGTCCACCTTCCTCCCAGTGACTTGTTACATGAATGATAAATGACTGTAGGTGTGTGCAGTGTCCGGCTTTCCTGTGGCTCGCAGCTGAAAACATTCTGATACATACTCTAATTTACTTTGTTTTTAATTGTTCTCACTTCTCTCTAATTTATTTCTCCAATTTTTTTGTTCTTCAGATGGAAGGTGTTTCATGGGAGTGAGGTTTTTAAAAAATCCATGCCTGAGTTTGTTTTGTTTTGACATGTTTTCTCTTTTCATAGACTGGTCAGACAGAAGAGATTTTTCTAAGGAACCCCCAGCCCCCAGGATTCCTCGCCCCTGTGGGGTGTTGATCTGGGTCACTGTCATCATGGAAGGAATGGAAAGAGAGTATGTCTAGGATTTGCTTCAAAACATTCTATGAGCTGGTGAAATGCTGCAAAACCGCAGCTGCTTCCTGACAAGGCCACCCAGCTCTCTCACCCAACCCAGGCTTCCTAGGTCTGGACTGCAGGGAGCAATCAGGGAGACCTGAGGTCACAGAAGGTCAAAGGGGACCTGGGGACTCTGTTTCAGAGTCTCCTGACTAACCCTCTCAGAAAGTTGAACCAAATTTGCCAGCACACTCTTTAGCTTTTGCCTCTTCCAGTTCGGCAGCGTGAGCCAGAGATTTGGGACCCAAGGTGTGACCTCCCTGGTGATAACAGATCCCGTCTCATGTCCCTGTACTTGGTCCTCATGGCTTCTACCTTCCACCAGCTTTCCCGAGCTCCGTTTGCCCATGTGGAGCCTGCATGCAGGCAGTGCTGCAGCTGGTCTTCCTGGGGACCAGCCACCCCAGACTGGTCTTCTCCGTGATGAGATAGTAGACAACTCTCTGTGGCCTGAGATGAGCCTTTCATTCTACCCCCAGGTAGCAACAGACAAGCCTGGTGGAGGGACAGGCAGTCTCTGGGGATGGAAGGAGTTGCCTTCTCAGCCAACGCCAACAGTCCCAGCTTCTTTGCTTGGCGTTGGGTCTCGACTTGGGCTCCAGGTTGAACAGTTGAGGTGCTGGTTGACATTGGGGAGCCTGGGTGATCTGGTTACTTGTAGCAGGCACTTTCATGTACTTGCAGAGGGCCAGCCTTCATAGCTGCTGTCAGGTGAAGGGGATCATTTGCCCAAATGGGGAGGCCCCTTTTCAAGTGGACCTTTTGACCAGTGTCACTCAGTTCCTGGCCATTTCTTGATCAGGGATTTTCTGACTTGCTGACCACAGGAGTGGGGCTCACTGCCTTAGGTTCACATTCTTTTCCTCTGCACTTGGAACTGACAAGTGATCCCCCGATTTGAATGGTTTATGTTCCTTCTCTAAGCCCAAGCCCTGACCTCCTTGAAGCCACAGGCAGCAACTCCTTCATTCTTTCCTCGACTCCATTTCCCCAGCCCAACCCTCAGTCTCAACAATGACACAGAGAAGCAGCCAGGTCTCCAGGCTGAGTAATTCTGGCTCCCATAACTCACGTCTTATCCCTGGTTACCCACCTGCAAGGTGAGACCCGTGATGATACCTCACTGATGTATAGCTCTGAGCTTCATGATTCTTATTAACTATATAGAAAAAAATAGCGACTAAAAAGAATTGACTAAATTTCTTAATAAACTCTGTCCAAAGCTGACATTACAGACTAAGAGCTTTTAAGTCTGTTTTTTGGTAGTATCAGCTTTATTGAGCTCTAACTCACATACCATAAAATTCACCCTGCTGAATTTTAGCTGAATAGATGCATTCTGTATAGTCTTTTGGAAAATGCTCCTGCATCTCTTTTGAGCTCATAAATTTCTTTTTTTTTTAATCTTTTTTAATTGTTATTGTTGTTCCTTCTGTTTTAGGAAAGGGCTTTGGCTGGGATTTGAGAACTGGCCTGGTATAGCACTTTCCAGTGACTTCTGGAAAGATCAGTCTATGGGTGCCTGGCACCCAAGGATTTGATGTGAACCCAAATGCTCACAGAGTAAGGGGAGCAGAAAGCATGGGGTATGGTAAGGATCTTGAAGTTAAAATGCCTGTTGTCAAGTCCTGATATTGTACTTCTATGACCCTGAACGTCTTCCGTGACCCCAGGGGTCACCATATACATAGAGCACAAGTGGCTGGTGACCTGGAGCTGGGCAAGGCGAATGCAGCCTCAGCCTCTCTGGGTTCAGCTTCCACCTATGCAAGGGGTGGGGTTGCACTCGGTGACCTTCCACTTTCTTTCCACGTTATGATGCCTCCTCACTGCCTCTTTCCCTTCTTCCTTTCACATTGCAGGTATTTTCTCTTATTTTGGACAGGCTGGGGTGGTGGTGGTGGTGGTTATGAACTAATACTGCTTTCCCCAGAGCGTGGATGATGAGCACCAGGCTCCTTTATTCCCCAACTCAATGGATTCCAGGCCCTGCTCCACCTCACCCCACACCGGTCAGCATTATGCTCACGCTCCTCAGCCCCTGGACTAAACTGTTTTCTTCCTGTAAAAAGACACACTTTCCCCTTTGGTGGACTGGACAATGAACTCAAGTCCCAGCTGCTTCTCTCGTGTGCTTGCAAGGCCATCTGTGGTCTGATGGTGACCTTTCTGTCTTTGCCTAGAAACCTGGGAAAACCGTGGCTGCCATCATCCAGGACATCCATTCCCAGAGGGAGAGGGACATGTTCCGGGAAGTAGACAGGTGAGGCCCAGTGCTCGGTCTCAGGGCGGGTTCCGGGCAGGAGGGACACTGTTTCTCATTCTTGGGGTTATGGAGTCATGCTATGCTCTGTCCTGGCCCAGCCCCATCCACCAGTCTGTCCAGCCCCTACCTGCCCACGTGCCCTATGAACAGCATCAGGCCAGCCCAGAAGTGCCGCTCAGGTTAAACCTCAGTAAAGTGCAAGATGCTAAGCTTCCTCTCAGCTGCTTCTTCCTTGTTGGAAAGAAATGTTGGGGGCGGGGGATGTGTTGATACTTGGCCCTTTGGGGCTAGTCTATAATCTGGCTAAAACTAGCCTGAAAGTTCTTGTGCACACATGTTCTCTTCGATTTTTCATGAGCTGAGTATAGATATAGGACTGTAGATGGTCAAAAACAAACAAACAAACAAACAAACAAACAAAACGGTTAACATGAGCTGTGATTCACTCTGATCATTGAATGCCCTCAGTTTTCCAAGTCATTTCTTCCAGCTGACATTGTGCTCTTGCCAACCGGGGGTAAGGTTTTACCACTGTCCCTGCCCGGTAGAGTCCCTGTGGATTGTCACGGTGGAAAACAGTGGGAGCAGCACTTGGCCTGCACCTTCTCTGGTTCTTACCCAGGGCTGCCACAGATGGCGCCTTAGTCTCACTGTAGAGCGTGGACCCAGACTGTTCCCCCAAGAAGGTCTCTCAAGGCTCAAGGCAGCCTGGTCCTAGAGAGCCAATGGCATCAGCGCTGTGTCCCCTGGCCAGTGAGAGCTGTGTCTGGGGATCAGCTGAAAGATTGCTCACCCTTTTAGAATACCGGTATATGACTCCACTTACCTGCTTGGGAGTGTATTTGTGTGTGTGTGTGTGTGTGTGTGTGTGTGTACACATTTGGGTTGGGGATCTTTGTTTTAATTGCAGTTGTTTGGTGTTTTCAAAGCCATGTATAAGCCACGCCGTGGCCCTGGGGTCCTGTGGCAGAGTGTGTGGGTGCAGGGGGTTGGGGGTCTCAGAAGTCCCGCTTGGAACCTTAAGCAGGTCAAGGGTCCTTTTCTGGGTTTCAGATTCTTCTTCTGAAAAATGAGCAGATCAGAGCTGTGAGGTCTCCCCCAGCTCTAAAATGCCCTCCTAGTTCTTTGTTTCGGACTCTCTGAGCCCACCCATCCCCTCCTCCTTCCACGCCCCGGAGCAGAACAAATTGAGGTGAGAAATAAGCCAAAATAATGGAGACCACGAGGTCACCTTTATTCCTACAGTGGCCAGGTAGAGGAGCGGCTCCAAGTCCTGCAGCCAAGGGACAGCAGAGTGCTGGGGGTGGGTGGGGGTGTTGCCCGCCAGGCTGGGCCAGGTCAACCCCCCTCCATTCCCACCCAGGAGGAGAGGCCTCTGGCTGGAGTGGGCTCTCTTCCAAGAGGAGGGACGATGGGACTGAGTCCAACAGTCCAATTATTCCCCCAGCTGGGAGCAGAATGACCAGGGGGCTAGAAAGCAGCCAGGGCTGTGCTTAGGGAGAGTCTCTCCCCCAGCAGCCTGGGTGGGGGGTGGCGAGGGGAGCAAGGGAGGCAGTCTCTGGGGTCCCTGCTCTGTGGGGCTGTGGTGGAGCGGGCGCGGCAGGGCGGGGTTGCCTGCACAGCACATCTGTGTGTTGCAGGGTCTGTCCGGTTGTGGGGTTCAGGGAGGGGTGCAGATTCTAAGACCCGCTCCTCTGCTCCCGCACAGGTATGGCCCAGAAAGGCCGCGGTCACGCAGCCCGGTGAGCAGGTCGCTGTCCCCGCGGTCCCACACGCCCAGCTTCACCTCCTGCAGCTCTTCCCACAGCCCGCCTGGCCCCTGCCGGGCCGACTGGGGCAACAGCCGGGACTCGTGGGAGCACTCTCCCTACGCCCGGAGGGAGGAGGAGCGCGACCCGGGCCCCTGGAGGGAGAATGGGGAGGACAAGCGGGACCGGACAGACTCCTGGGCGCACGATCGCAAGCACTACCCCAGGCCGCTGGACAAGGGCGACTTAGACGAGCAGCGGCTGGAAGGCGGGCGCGGCCACCGAGAGAAGCACACAAGGCCCGGGTCCCCCAGCCCGCTGCACCCCGCAGCCGGCTACAAGAGCCGGGAAGATGGCTACTACCGCAAGGAGCCCAAAGGCAAATCGGACAAGCATCTGAAGCAGCAGGAGGCCCCTGCGAGGTCCAGGAGGAAGGACGAGGCCAGGCTGCGGGACAGCAGACACCTCTACCCCGACGGCGTGGGCAGGGAGGACGGCCTGGAGCCCAAGGTCACCAGGGCCCTGGAGAGCACCAAGTCGAAGCAGAGCGAGAAAACCCGAACCAAGAGACCTGACAGAGACCAAGAAGGAGCTGATGACAGGAAGGAAAGCAGAGCGGCTGAGAATGAGGTCAGGAGGAAAGTAACTTTAGCACAATGCTGATGAATTTTGTGCATGAATGAAACTCTTCTTGAATGTTCATGCTGAGCTCCACTTTGTCTCAGTCAAGTCATTTAATCCTCACCACAGCCCTGTCAGGTCATGATGCTAGTAGTGCTGTTATTACTGTAGATGAAGAAACAGAGGTGCAGCACTTGAGTGAGTTGCCCAAGCACACACAGATGGGAGTGGCAGGGCTGGACTTATGCAAGGGTGATCTGCTGTCTTCACTGGATGCAGGGGAGGGACCAATGCCAAGGCCTCCCCTGGTCCTGTCTGTCCAGGGTGAAGTGGCCTTCAGGTGTTTGCACCCACAGACTCTGCCAGGGAGATGACACCTTTGGTCCACTCTGCCCTTTCTTGCCAGAAGTGCCCACCAATCCCAAAGCTTTCATGAGAGGCCATAAAGGAGAAACAGCCACCACCCACTAAATTATATTGGGTGCCCAACCTTGGTATGTTTCTCTAGACACTGTCCACTGTGGTTACTTCCACTGTAATAAAAGTGCCTGGCAGTTGGCTGGCACCTTTCATCCAAGCGTCTGATGGGGTTACAACTGACTGCTTAACTTCGGTTCACACAGTGGGTCACCAAGAGGAGTCTGGGTACCAAGTTTGTATTCTAACTTAGCTTCCTTCTTGCCAATACTGCCTACCTTTAAAGAGTGGGGTGAGGGTGGAGAATGGGGGCCCCCTTAAAGAACCCAGCTTTTTAGATCCTGCATGCCCTTCTCAAAGTCAGCTACACTCTTCCTACAGGCACAGGAGGGGGAAGGCCAGGACATAAGATTAGGGAAGTGGGGTGGGGTGAGGCAGGGTAGGGTGGGAAGGCCCTGCTGTACCTTGCTGAGGGCTTGTGCTGGATCCTGAGTACCTGTGAACCAGTGAGGTTTATAAGAAGAGAGTCTAAGTGCGGAGGCCTGCAAGGTGCTGTGTGTCATGGGTCAGTGTCTCAAGAAAAGGCACAGAGGGGCAGGGGGCCAGGCCCTGTTCTTCTCTGCCTTGAAATGGGTGTGTGTGATTGCAAGGCTCGTGCAGGTATTTCACGAACTCGTGTCTTTGGAGAAAGGCACCTTTAGAAAAAAGCGCCTGTGCTGGAGAAGTCAATGTGTGCTGCTCAGGACTTGAGGGTGGCTGAGGCCATGAGAACACCTAACCCTGAGCACAGACCCTGGAGGAAGGAGAAAATCAAGAGGCCCCCCTCCACCTTCCCAGAAGGGGCGACAGGGGTTACACATCCAGAGAAGGGGAACCAGGCAGGTGACATAGACCAGGTGGTGTGAGCGAAGAACCAGTGGAGAGATGGGACCATGGCAGGAGTGGGGTGGGGTGGGGGTGGGGGCTGTGTGTTGGGGACAGCCCACCGCTGCTCAGCTCCACTCTGTGACTGCCGTGCAGGAATGCAGGCCCTGTGCCCTCAGACCTCACGTTGCTTAGTGTAAGAGATAAGTCCAGATCTCTACTTGAAATTTCCCCTGTGTTAGAAAGTGTATGGACCAAAACATGTCTGTGGGCCAGATGCAGCCTCCAGTATAAATAATCCATAGGAGGGAGAAAGAAAAACCATTTATACTCAATTCAGACCCCAGACAGAGACCCCAGCATTCCTGCAGGCAGGTGAAAACTCATTTTTCACTATATACCCCTTCTAGTAATCTCCATTCTCTATTCACCAGAATCCATGGAGCACCTAGCACTGGAGCTATAGAGTGAGTGAAAGCTGAAATGATCCCGTATCTCATAGAACTCATGGTTTAGTAGAAAGTCATACTGATCAAGTAATTCCTCAAATGAACAAATGAATGAGTGTTAATTACTAAGGAGATGGAGGTATATGGTGCTGTCAAAGCCTGTAATGAATCAGAGGCATCCCTGGGTTAGGATGTGACTATTGAGATTTGAAGGAGTGGCGGGTATTTACTGCAAGAAAAGGAAGGAGAGCAGACAGGGGGAATAATGTGTGCAAAGGCCCTGTGGCTGGATGCCAGTGTTGCTGGAGCAAAGAGAACCAGGGTTAAAATGGTGAGATGTGAGACTCATTTGTCAGCAGGGTCTTGTGCTCAGATTACAGATTTTTGTCTTGTCTTAATTGTAAAGAGAGGCAAATAAAATATTTGAGTAAGAAGATGTAGGAGGTTATGATAAGCTTTTGCATTTGGGAATGATCAATCTTGATTGCTTTGGGGAGAATAGATTTGGGATGAGTTACAGAGCGGAAGTAGGAGACTCGTTGGATGGTCAGGAGATGAAACTACTCCAAAACTTGGCCCTAAAATTTTGGTCCATTAGCTGATGTGGGCAGTGGATGCATATTGGTTGCAACTGTCTGTTCCCCTTAAGCTCCTGTTCTTAACTGAAAGCGCTCCTGGGGCAAAGCAATCTGCTGAGATGCACTGCCCTGTGCTTGCAAAAAAAGAAGAGCAGGGGTTTGCCTGTGGAGGCCTTAGGCTGGGCTAGGCCGTCCCTGCCTCTCCCCGCTTAAACTGGAGAGGATCTCTTTACCATGTTAACCTAGGAGTATGACTTGGATTTGCTTGGGAGGTGTACAGGTTATTTTGACAAGGAAGGGCCATGGATGATTTATCCTGAGAGACAGAAATAAAGAAAAGTGGCATCCTTTATGTGAGTTGCATCTTACAGCAGCAAAGTCACACGAAACACAGTTTGGGAAGCACGGCTTCCAGGACCACTGGGTACAGTCAGCTGGGTTGTGCACTGAGCAATCTGAGTGGGCACTCACATAGACTATCATATCCGTGGTGCCTGCAGTTTTATACCCGGTGGACCTGATCTCTGTAACTACGGGGGAAAGTAGGGGCTGTATGGAGGATCCGCTATTGATAGAAGCTACAGGTTCTGGTGGCCAAAAAGGCAGCTGAAAAGGCTTTGAACTTAGGTTAGCACAAAAGACTTGAGAAAAGTCTTTTGTGGCATCTTCTTCCCCAAACACTGGAAAGAGTAGGGACTTGGTGATCTGAACTGTCAATTCCAGTCTGGTAATAACTGGTTAAACTGTTGTCTCTGAGCTGCTGCCCCAGCTGGCTCCTTTAGCTCAAGAGGTGTGTGTCTTGTAAGAAGTCAGAACTGGAGTTGTTTACTTTGTCTCAGCCATAGCCAAGAGTGTTGAGAAAATGCAACTTGTCCTTGAGGAAGGCCAGGAATAGTCATTGATTTGGTGGCCTAAGTTTATGTCATGGGAGGATATTTCCCCAAAACTTTAAAAGCAGGGTAGGCAAACTCTTCTTACAAAGCATCAGATAGTAAATATTTTATGCTATGTGGGCAAAGTTGAAGACGTTATGTGGCTCCTTATATAATCATTAAAAAATGACTATTCAAAAAATGTGAGCAGTGTCGTTAGCTCACAGCATGTAGAAAAGCAGGCGTGTGGATGCTAGTTTGGTGGTCAGAGACCCTGACTCTTAAACCAAACTCCTGCTGTCAATTTCCCAGGCACAAGCACTGACATCAGGGACTTATTTTGGGAGAGGGAATCGAAGAAAGGAGGCAATAAAGAGAGAGAAGGCAAAAAAGAGATGAGAGGATCATTGATTGGATCACAATCTACTTCCTACCAAAAAGTGACCTGGATGTAATTTTTTTTATGTCCAAGATGGATCTGTTGGGGATATATGGCCATGAAAAGCCCTGGAGCAGTTAGTTCACCTGTGGTTCCATCCACTCCCTTTCACTTTCTATACAGGTTTCACAGCTACAAGAAAACACTCCGTTTGCCAGGGATTTCTGTTCCCCTAAGTCATCAGGCCAGCTGTGAAGACATTTCTGTGGCCATTTGTGTGATCTTGGGCAAGTTACTGAACCTCTCTGAGCCTATTTTCTCATCTATAAAATGCAGATGCCAACAGCGTGAGGGTTTTTGTGAGGACGATGATGTATGTGAAGAAACACACCTGGCAACTGGTAGCCCTGGCAATGCCAGTGTTTTCCTCTCGGCGCCCCCTCTTTCCTCAGCCCCTGCTCACTGTTGATTCGTTTGTTCTCTTTTCTTTGGTAAGGCTGGAAAAGAGGGACAGGAGGACAAGGAAGAAAGCCCCCCACCAGCGAGCAGGCAGGAGAAAGAAACAGAGTTCTCTGACACAGAAACCACAAGGACAAAGAAGGTAAAGTTTGTGTCGATGCGCCTCCTCCACACGCCCCCCCACTGGGCCCCAGGTCCTGGGAGGAAGGACTTTGCCCGGGATCGCAGGACAGTCTTTATTGAGATCTTAACTACATGCCTGGGCTTTACCTCACTCTCCAGTGACTTGGCTACGCTCATAAGAGAAAACATGTGCCCAAAAAAAGACTCAGGCTTCAGAGCCAGGCTCCCAAAATAGGCAGGTCCGGGGGAGGGGCTGGAGAAGGTGGGGGTGGGGGGCTTCGGGCACTGGCGCTAGAGCCCTGACCTCAGCTGGCCCAGACCCTGGATTAACAAGACATCCACTGTGCTTGTAAAGATTATTTTACTTAATTAAAATGAAAAGCCCAGTTACAGTACAGGGGCTGCCACAGCAAACTGAAAGGCACTTGGACTGTGGCCAGCTTTCTGTCTTTCTGGATGGTGTCTCTGGCAGGGAAGCTGATCTCTCAGTCTGGCCGCTGGGTCGGTGGGCTGCCGGGATGCCAGGAAAAGTGTCGGGGGTGCCAAGTATGAGCCATGGCAATGGATGTGGTGCCTTTATTGAGCACCTACTGCATGCTAGAGGTTGACACTCTCTGTGCAACTTTAAAGATAGTGAATAAATCATTAAGGACTCACTCCAAATACTGCGCTGTTTGGAGCCTGGGCCTAGGGATGATCCAGTGATGTGGGACTTGATAGGTTTTCAGCTCCTTGTTACCCAGCTTCCAGGTACAAGTAAGAGTATTCCAGATCATTCTGGCTTCACAGGTCCTTTGGTTAAATTTGTGTCCTCTGGTTAAATACCATGACCTGATCCTTAGCCACCCTCTAACATGTGTTCTGCAATTTTGTTCAGGAGCAAGACTGGGAGAGCGGAAGTGAGGCGGAGGGGGAGAGCTGGTACCCCACAAACATGGAGGAGCTGGTCACCGTGGATGAGGTTGGGGAGGAAGAAGATTTTATCATGGAGCCGGATATTCCAGAGCTGGAAGAAATTGTGCCCATTGACCAGAAGGACAAGCTCTGCCCAGAAATGTGCCCCTTTGTGACAGCCACCTTAGATCTGGACTTAGCCAAGGATTTCACCAAGGAGGGAGTCAACACCATTGGTAATGGGGCTGCAGAAATCATCCCCAAGTCACCCAGAGAACTGCCTTCTGCTTCCACGAGCTGTCCCAGTGGCATGGACGTGGAAATGCCCGGCCTAAATCTGGATGCTGAGCGGAAGCCAGCTGAATGTGAGACGGGCCTCTCACAGGAGGGTTCGGATTGCTACGAGAAGCAGGCAAAGGCAGCGGAGAGCTCAGACGTTTGCCTGGCCCCTACAGTCCAGCAAATGTCTTCCCCCAAGGCAGCTGAGGAGAGGGCCCAGCAGCCCAGCCCATCTCTCGATGACCACAAGGCCAGGGGGACTCCGGAAGATGGGGCTCGCGAAGGCAGCCCCCTGGAAGACAGGCCCAGCCCCCCCACTGGAACTGAACTCCAAAGCCAGGCTTGCCAAGGAGTGTTGACCCCGGGTAACTACCTCCCCTTTTCTCATGTGCTTTTGGGTTGCCCGGACCTCTGCTCACCTGGAGAAGTGTGTGGGCATGGGCAGGCTGGAATGGACGGAGGAAGGTTTCAACTCGCGTTAGAGCTGGTGCAGAAAGCAAGCTGCTGAGAGTCTGGTTAAACTGTTAGAGCTTTCAGACAAATGGTGTAGAGGAAATCAGATAGGAGGCCCTGCATTTTCTGAAAAGCAAACTAAGATAGAACAGACTGCTCTGAATTTCCGGGAGCCCAGATGGACCCTGACAACTAAAACTGGCAAAAGTTTGTGTTATTAGCCAGAGGAGCTTGGGCTCCTGGGGGTCAGCAAGCAGCCTCTGGCTTCTGCACGGCTGAGGACCGCCCAGGCCGTCCTCTTCTCGAGGCCTGAGTGATGGAGGGAATGTAACCGGTGGAGAAGGGACTGGGCCTAGGGAGGAATGAGGGGCTCACTGAAGGGCGTGGCTTGACCCCTTCCTACTTCTTTCTACTGCAGACCTGTTTTTCTTCAGGGCCTGATGGTGAAACAAGACTTGTCCCGGGATCTCCTCTGCCTCTCGTTGGAGGTGATGTGGCTGTGCCCGGCACTATGACATCATGAAAGAGAGTTTAAAATAGGCTAAGCCCTGCCCTCTCTGCCAAGTGGAAACTCAGAGCCATCAAGGGCTAGGAGGGAGAGGGGGAGAGGCATGGCCCTGGACATTTGATATGCTCGTAGTAAAAACCATGGCAAGGGAGTCACTTCACAGAGCTGGTGGCATATCGGGGGCTGAAATGGGGGGACCAGAGTTGAGGGGCAAAACCTACAGGTGAAAGGCTTAGAAATAAACCATTCAACCCAGTTCTCGGGGACTGGCGCAGCTGGTGGGTGAGCTGGAGCCGGGGCTGTCCTCCACGCCAAGCTGACCGGAGCTGTTTTCCACCTGCATGGATCTGAGTCTCCATGGAAACTCTGCCATGAGCTGCCTTCTGCCTTTTTGTTGCTAGAGAAACGCTGAGGCCCGGGCCTCATCTCGTAAAGGCAAGACTAGAGGCGGAGCAGAATTTTCCCCAGGCTCTGATTGAGTCCTTGCCATTGGGCAGTAGAGGTCTCAACATGCACGGGCACTCGTGGCTTGTTAGCTTCCCCAGTGTTTGGAGTTCACATTTAATAACACTGCTCCACAAGCGTGGGGTGAGGATGGCATTGCCTCTCGGCCAACCTCAGTGCTCCTGTGGACGTCAGCACAATTTTCGCCCTTCCATAATTCTGCCTGCAGAGATGGGGTGATACTGAGTCAGGGGTGGGGGAGGCTGGGCAGATCATCCAGCCCAAGGCTTCAGCAACCTCCCCTCCCTACCCCCACCCAAGGCAAAGATTGGCCAGGTTTTATTGTGTGTGGCAGTCTTTTGGCAGTGGGAAAAGCTCTTAATGATAGCACTTTGGTTCTAATTAGCACTCACGGCCCCAGCCTCACGTTATGAAGCCGTTGCAGGCATAATACCCATCCCACGGTGCAAGGAGCAGAGCAGCAGAGTCTGAGGCAGCTTTTGTGTTTCATTGGTTCTTTGCCTGGGCTCATGTTTTGCAGAGAACTCCAGGTACGTGGAAATGAAATCTCTGGAGGTGAGGTCACCAGACTACACTGAAGTGGAGTTGAAACAGCCCCTTTCTTTGCCTTCCTGGGAGCCAGAGGATGTGTTCAGTGAACATAGCATTCCTCTAGGTAGGTGACAAACACCGTCCTTTCTGAGAATCCAGCTCCACCAGATGGCAGTTCCCCAACAACATCTAAGAACTGGGGAGGGCCTTTGCCATTTCATTGTTGGTGATGGGACGCAGTCACCTGGATCACGAGGTGCTCCTGTAACTGGTCTGGCGACTTCAGCTATGTCCCCCCACCACACCCCCACCAGAGCTTGCACGGCACTGCCCAGAGTCTTGTGCCTTTTCCTTCCTCTCTTCGCCCCAGCCCTTCCCAAACAATGCTACGCCTTCCCTCTTCAAGGGACTAGCCCCTCTGAGGCAGTGATGAGGAATAGACAGCGTTTGGGGCAGGCCCTGTCTAGTTGCCAGCAGAACACTCAACAGAGAGAGGCCGAGTATCTGCTTCTTTTCACTGCCTGCGTGCCTGCAAGTCCTCAGACAGGTCAGTCCCCAGGAGGGGGCTTTGTGTTGTTTTTCCCAGTCTCTAATAACCTTTGTTAGCAAGACAGTTTAAAAGATAAATAAAAATATGCTTTTCTTGGAGGTCCCCAGAGCAAGGCTCACCTTCCTGGGGAAGGCAGCCCAGCAGAGTGGAGATCAGAGCCCGGTGCAGGGGAGCAGGGGGAGGGCACCCACACACACACCCAAGCACTGGCAGGGGGGATGGGTAAGACAGGAAATATGCAGGGAGTGACAGGTTGGGGGTTCCTGAGCCTTATTTTCCTCACCTGGAATAAGGAAGTAGAGCAAATACTGGGGTTTCTTGGTGCTGGCAGTGTTGGGAGCAGGGGGCAGTGAGAGAAGTTAATAATAGAATCACCTATCACACATTTTCCAGGAGGAGGGTTAACTTGAGTGTCAGGGTAGGGAGTGAAGTTCCCTGGGAGCTTCTGACACCACTGCTAACCAGGCGGCCAACCATCAGGTCTTCGCAGTGACTCAGGAGGGTTGGAAGGCAGTGAGAACCCAGGAGGAACAGCAGCTGCTGAGGGAGCTGGGGCAGGTGTCACAGGAAGCAGGAGCAGCTCGGGCTGTGTGATGTGATGACAGTGACCCCATGCTGCCTCCTTCGGGAGGGGCTAGTCCAGGGTATGGAGGCCTCACCCTTCCCATCGGGGTTCTTTTTTTCTTCCTTTAAACATTTTTTCTTACTGTTTCGATCCTCCAAAGGTGCCATTTTCATGGAATCAGATTTAGAGAGCATGAGAGAAAAAAGCATAGCGTCAAACATGCCCCAGAACAAAAACTAAAAATAGAAATACTCACCTGAGGCTGAACAATAGTGACTACATGAAGACCCTGGGTATTTCCATCCTGGGATCGTCACCAAGACTGGCTTTCAGGAGAAGGGTGCCAGCCCCTGGTTCCTTTGTGCGTTCTTCATGCCCTCATTCACTGAGCAGCGGGACAGCATGGCCCAGTACAAGATATAGGTCTGTGCAGCCAAGGATTTGGATTCAAATCGACACATAAAAGCAAAAATTAAGAAAAATTCTGCTACTTTGTAATTTGTGCCCTTTTTTATTACTGTTTTCATTAGAAAAAGTGCAAAAGATTACTGCAACAAAATTTTAAAATAAGAACCATAGGAAATAAGTATTAAATGTTGTATCTCTTCCCTCCAGTCTCACCCTAACTGCAGAGAAACCACTGTCATACCCACAGATACTTTTTCTCCCCCCTCAAAATAGGATGACAGCATTCACATCACATTTGCAGTCTGCTTTTTAAATTTTTTTGGAGACGTTTTCATGTCACACGAGAGAATGTGTTCTTTTTAACCACTGCAAATATTCCTTCTTAAAAGATATTCCATAACTCACCTCTACAATTTTCCCCCAATATTAAAATACTATCATAGCTAAGATGTTACTTTTATCATTTGCCATGCAGGCGCTCTCCCTAGGGCTTTGCATACATCTTCTCATTTAACTCTCTCAAAGCGCCTATGAACTAGGTCATCTTTTATTCCCGTTTGCAGATAGGAAATCTGCAGGATTACAAAACTAAGGCTCAGCAAAGACCTGAGTCAGGATGCAGACCCCAGGGCTCCTGACTCCCAGAGCTGCACTGCCTCTGGGCTCTGCTGCCCCCCCCCAGATGTGCTGTTGCCTTTGTGTGTGTGCCAGTGTTTCTGCCCGAGAGAGCGTCCTTGCCGGGAGCTGGAGGGGCTCTACGTGTTTGCATTTCAACTTTTCATAATTACTACTAAATTGGTCTCCAAAAAGATTATAGCATTTTCCACTGCAGCCTTGACTGAGTGTTCTCATTCTCCTTGCCAGCGTTGGATGTTATCAGTTTTTAATCCTTACCAATCTGTTAGGAGGAAAATGGTACCCCATTCTTTTTTTTAATAGCTCAATTAAGGTATAATTGATGTTAATTATTGATGTAAATATACATATTTAAGTGTAGGATTCGATCCGTTTTGACATATGTATACACCTGCGAGACCATGACCACGATAAGATAGTGAACTAGCTCTTCATCCCCCAGATTTCCTCGTGCTCCTTTATAAGCTCTCTCCCCACATCTCAATGCCCAGGTCACCACCGATGTGATTTTTTTCCACTATTATACAATCAACAATTATATATAAAGGGAATCCTATAGTATGTTCTGTTTTTGTCTAACTTCTGCCCTCAGCATGATTATTTTGAGGTTGTGGAGTACATTGCTAGCTGGCTTCCTTTTATTCCTGAGGAGTATGGCTTGTGCATATGGATGGGCCACATTTTGCTTATTCATTCATCTGTTGATGGGCATTTGGGTTGTTTCCAGAGTGGGGCTAATACGGGTTATACTTTCGTACTTGGTACAGTCTTTGAGACTCATTACCTCATTAATCTCCCAGAGAGGGTGATGGTGTTATTTTCCACATTTGAGAGGTCAGGGCACTGAAGCCCGGAGACTGACTCAATATGGCATGGCAAATCCAGCTAGGAACTCAGCCTTTCTCAGCTGAGCTGCTCTGCACTCCTGACCCTCCAGTTTGGGCAGCACAGTATAGAAAAGGCAATTTTTGTGCAGTGGTAAAGAGCACAGGCTAGGGAATCTGACTCCCTGGGTTCAAATGCCACCTGGCTGGGGATGAAAAGCAGCTAATATAACCTCTCTGCTTGGCTCTCTGCATCTGTAATAGGATAGTAATAGAAGCTGTCATGCAGGGCTATCTTGAGGATGAAATGAATGGATACTTGTAAGGGAGGGTTGTTGCTGTTACTATTTGTATATTAAATAGTACACCTAGTAGGAGACCTACTAGACACCTGCTGTGCTTCCTTTCCCTGGGACTGCATAACCCTTTCTCTTTCATGATTGTTCATGACTACAGCCACTGCAGGCATGTGGGGGACTGCTTTCAGGTGGTCTCTGTGGAGAGTAGGGATGCAGAGTAAGGGGTGTCAAGGGTGGGGCACACCTCCAAGAAGAAAGGGAGACAAAATCCCACTGTTCAGGGTCTGGGTGGGCATGGAGGGGAAGTGAACAATTCCTGTGTTCCAGGCTCTCTCCAGTGACCCCTAGAGCTCAAGCCTGCTGCGGCCTGCTCTTAACCAGAACCAAGGGCATTGCCTGCAAAAGGCAAGCTCCCCTCCACCCATCGCAGGCTTTGCTTGGATGACGGAGTTATACCCAAGCCAGGAGCTATTATTAGATGGCAAATGCAGTTTTAATTATTGTACTTAACAGAAGCTGAAAAATGGGAGGACTGAATGGTTCCAGAACTTATCCAGGCTGTGGGAGTTTTTTCTTGATGAGTTTTTTCTTGATGCTCCACTTGGCCCTCACATTCCAGAGGCTTTCTGAGGCAGTATTGGCAAAGTCATGCCCTCGGCAGCTCCTCGTTACTCAGGGGAGTGTTGGGGGGCCTCTCTGCCCACCTAGGCTTTTGCTTTTCCAGTGTTGATGGCCTAGTATTGACCAGCAGTCACTCCACCACAGAGTGGAGTAGGGGTTCCCTCGGCGGCCCTCGTGGATGGGTGGAGGATGGAAAATGTCAGCGTGCTGACAAGTGGCCTCTGTGGTGGAATGTTAAAAATGTGTCTGGAAACTAATGTTTTTGACACCAGGCAAAATGATAGGTGCTTCTCACAACACCATCTGTGGCATGTTGTTCTTATTTTACAGATGAGGAAGCTCATCTCAGAGAGAGGTTAAGTAATGTCCCTGAAGCCACACAGTGTCAATAAAAGAATCAGGTTGATGTGACTTCAAATTCCTTTTCTATTTCTTCCTACTAAACCACAGTTTCCAAGTCTCTCTTTTTTAAAATTTATTTTGGGCTTGGTTTGAATGAACTCGCACCAAGAATCCCACAGATGGTAGTTGTCTTGTTTGTGCTGAAAGGGTCCCTGGCTGTCTGCTCTCTGGAGGTTTTTGAGGCAGTTGCACCCCTTCTGGGGGCCCAGGACAGGAGCTAAATGCCTCTTGAGAAACCTGAGGATCCTGGAGGCCTGAGGGGGTCTGTAGTGAGAACCCCAGGGCTTCTTCTGGCACCACCCAGGTGGTGATCCTGCAGGGTCTGGGACCCCACAGAGGCTGTGGCTCTGATCCCTGCCTGCATCTACTCCCTGGGGCCTCGGGATGGTGCCTCTCCTGTCCCAGTGTGGGTCTCTGCTCCCTGTAGGGTGCAGCCAGGGGAGAACTGTTTTGCAGAAACAGAGGACAGAGGCTGGTCTTGCTTAATGTTTATCTGCCAGCCCACAGCCAAGAGTCAGAGCCTGTGTGTGTGTGGGGGGGGGGGGGTGGCTGACCACAGGCAGAGTTGGCCCCCCTTTGCAACAAGGCGGGGGGTGGGGCAGGGGGAGGAGGGGGGGGCCTCAATCTCCCTGAGTGAGGCCTCCTGGGGACCGCTGTTGTCTGCTGAGGACTGGATAGCTTGCAACGTGGCAGTTAGAAAAATAAGGGGCTGATTCTGCCAGGCCCCAAACCACAGGGGAGCAATCAGTCAGGGCAGACCTCCAAGCTCCCACCTCCCCTGGGCCTGTTCCTCCACCCTGATAAGTGGCTTTTTTGCAATGAAAACAAAAGTTGAGATCGCAAGTCTAGGCTGCTTCACTGGGACAGGATCTCCAGTGCACTCAGCTCAGTGTCACGGGAGGCGGGAAGAAAAGTGAAGGAAGTCCTGGGCTTGTCACATGCAGTGCTCTGGAGCCTGCTCCGGCCTGCCCTTGGTGGGTGCCTCGTCTCCTCTCTCACCCAAAGAGGCTGCTTTTCCCTGGTGCTCTGCTCCCAGGCCCCTCTCTCCTGCCCAAAGCAGCTGCTCCTGCCGGACCATCTCCACCCCAGGCAGGCAGTACTGCGGGGCACAGGGTATTGTGTCAGTGCCTGGCCCAAAGGCCAGGTCGGTGCTGTCCTCTCTTTCGTTCCGCAGGGCCCTGCTGCTCACAGCCCTCATCCCCCTCTCTTCGCTGGCGCTTCCCAGTCAGTGCCTGTGAGCAGGACATGTGTCCTCACCCTTCCAGATGTGAGACGTGAGGCCCAGGAAGGGGTCAGCTGCCTCCCCTGGTTATTCAGGCTCTTGGTGCCTAGTCAGTGCCCTCTCAAACCCGGCCCTTTCTCTCTGCTGACCTTGTGTTTGTGGGCAGAACGGTGACCCCGGAGTCATCTTGGTGGAGGCAGCAGAGCCCCCATCCCTTCAAAGATGACTTCCCTGGCCGAGACTGGTGGGCCTCTCTGACTGGTGGGTCCCTGCTTCCTCCCCTCAGAACTGAAAGACCTCTCAGCGTGATGGGACTTATATTCAGCAAATCACAGGTACTATGAGCTGATGGCTCCGACATAAAGACTGAAGAGAGATGGGATGTGTTTGTGACGTACTATTACCTGAGAAAGGGGCCAGAAAGCACTGTGCCTAGGGGGTGATCCAGACTGACCCCCAAAAGGCTATGCATGTATCTAGCATGGATTGCCCAGATGCAGGCTGCTAACATGACAGCCTGGGCCTCGCTTCCAGGGCACGCCACCCCTCACGTCCGCTACCGCCTGTGAATGGACTAGGTGCTGTTCTCCCCCAGCCTGTTTCGCAAATGAGGAAACTGAGGCTTGGAGAAGCTGGTTAACGGGCCAAAGTCAGCAGCAGGGAGGACTGGTGCCCTTTGCTCCTCTTCCCACCAGAGAACTGGTAGCACTGCCAGGGTCTCCCCTGCCTTCCTAATGCCCCACCTCTCCATCCCCATCCTTCTCAGGGGTGGAGTTCGTGGTGCCCAGGACGGGCTTCTACTGCAAGCTGTGCGGGCTGTTCTACACGAGTGAGGAGATGGCGAAGATAAGCCACTGCCGCAGCGCCGTCCACTACAGGAACCTGCAGGTAACGTCCCCTGCCCGCTAGTGCGCGGGGCCTCTGCCTCCTGTTTCTGGGAATTGCTGTCTCCTGCACCTTCTGGGCCTGCTCTTCCCTGAGGCATGGTCCCCAGGCTGCTCCGCATGGTTGAGCACATGGTTGAGTACTCCATTTCAGTACTTGCACCTTCTGTTTGGGTTGGGATTTTCCACATTTGTACCATCTGAGTAACTTGTTAAGTGTTCCCTCAGCCCACGGTTGGGGCTCTCCCTTTGCGCCAGGCCTGGGTGTTCCTGGTGCACACAGACGTTTCTCTGTAGTTCTCTTCCTGGTGCAGGTGCCTGTTTGCTGGAATAAAAGCCACTATCTTGTTCTATTTAAAAGTCCACCCAAACCACAACTGTTTATCACAACTCTTTATCGTTGTGTTCCAGACATTGTTCTAGGCTCTGGGGGCACATTGGTAGAGAACAAAAAAGGCTCATCAGAGTCCCTGCCCTCTGCATGGAGCTTCCATTCTAGTAAAGGAAACAAGACTTCAGTAAAACAATGGAGCTTTATAGTAGATTAAGTGGTGCTCTAGAGGAAATGCCCTATATGTCCTGTTTCACCCAAGCTAAGGTGCCGGCCATGTGAGACGCCACTATTTCTTGATAACAAGAAAAAAAAATGTTACACATCTAACAGTGAGATTATCAGTTGTAAAACACATTTCAAATTCAGAGGTGTATAGAAAAAAAATGCACTAACATCTGTGAAATGTCTATGATCTACACCTGACATAAAAAATTAGAATGTGGAACTTCTGGTCTAGGCTGGAACAGAAAGCGCGATCCATCAGACACCCAGGAGTAAGTATCTCATGGCACCCCGTTTTAATTACAAGGAATCACACTAGTTGCTTGACATGTGAGGCCTCAGCTCAGGAAGCCTCTCCCAGTGGCATTGTCCCCTCATCCCCCAACAGGCGTTACTATCACTCAAATTGTCAACGAGCGCTTCTGACCCAGGGCTGTGAGCCAGAATCACCTGACAGTGTTTTGAAAGCATATGTAGTCATAAGAACTTGGGGAGACCCAGGAATTTGTTACATGAGAAAGTTCTGCAAATGATTCAAATGTGCACCCCTAATTAAGTAAACCCGATATGGGCCAACTCTCTTGTTTATAAAGGAGGGAACCGAGGTTGGAGAAAGATTATCATTTGTCCACAGCCCTGGAGATGGTCAGTTACCAGCCCTGGGACAGATCGCCTGATTCTTAATCACTTGATTCTTTTTACTCTACTAAGCTGCTCTTGCCAACTGAGGCCCGTAATGTCATGGCCTGGGTCACCCTCTGCCAGGGACTTTCATTGGCTGTGTCCAAGCTTGAGTAGTCATTTACGTGGCTTGACTTCTCTCCAGAGAGCAGCTGCTCTGTGACTGGAACCCATGGGACCCAGGGCCCAGGTCATGTCCTGTCCTGGGGAGGACACTGAAGCCCTGATTTGGCCAGACCAAAGGTTCAGACTGGGTTCACAGAGCCAGCTGAGGGCAGCTGTCTACTCCTTGTGCATCACCCCCACCCCAACAAGGTGAAAGCTGCAAAATGACAGAGCTGGAGAGGATCTTGAAGATCATCTGGCCCTGATTTTTCCCAAATCTTGGGATAGCAATTGGCATCTTTAAAAATGCAGCTTCCTGGACCCACTCCACACCTGCTTATTCATTTCTCCAGGGCTGGGCCTGCATTTAAAAAAATCTTTCCAGCAAGTTCTGAACCTTTTATCTCCTCCGACATTCTCTGCTGGGTTGTATAGCCTCCAAGGAGACCACACAACTCAAGGTCACCCAGCAAGTCAGGAAGAGTGTACACTCATCAGGGCCTCTGGTTTTTTTTTCTGTCTTTTTCCAGGGCAAGGGTGGCACTTCTGGGCAGACCCCCAGGCAGACTCCCTTCCACAGCAGAATAGAGCCACTCTGTGGTCCCCAGGCATGTCAGGGCCAGACATTACCTAAGCCCCGGACCCGCCAGCACAGTTCAGGTTTCCCTGGTGCACCTGTCAGAGAGCTGGGAGCCTCCACACAGACTGTCCAGATAGGGTTTCTGTTGGAGGCCCATCCCGCCCCACCCACCCCACCCCAAGTTACATGTGTGAAAAGTGAAGAATCCAGACCCAAGCAGCAGGTGCTGGCTGACACCTAAGTCTGGCAACTTGTAAACTTAGCACCCACTGGGAGGCCTTGAAGGGGTCAGGGACTGCTCTTGGAAGCAGGAAACAGGTGAAAGGAGCCTTCATTCTCTCTGTGACACCCCCGCTGTGCCCTGCTGCTGGTCATGGCTCTGAGAACCCACCAGAAGGATCTGGAACTGGAAGGGTCAGTGCTAAACAGGGTGTGCCCCTGGCTCCCCGTCTGGAGAGCAACATGCCCCTACACAGCTGCTCACCCTTTGCCTTCCCAGCACACATTTCCCTTCCCTGAGGTGAGAGAGGAGAGGCTGGGCTGCCATCCACAACCAATCTCCTGGTCAGGCTCACGCACCTCCCAGCACCAACCACGGTCTCTACTGGGGGCCACAGGTAGCCCTGGTCAGCCTGCACCCCTCCTCTAGTCTGACCCTGAGTCATCCTGGTTGGGAGTGTGAGGCTGGAGAACATGAGTGGGTTTCTCACCCGCGGGAAGGGGCGCCATCACAGAGGCTTCTCTGTGCCAGGCTCTGCTAAACACTTTGTTCCTCTCTTGGACTTCACAGCAGCTGGTGTCCGTAGATACCATTATTATCCTCATTTTACAGAGGCCAGAGATTTGGGGTAACTTGCCTGCTGAGATCCTGCATTTAAGCCCAGGTCCTCTGACAGCAGAGCCCATGCACGTGACCACTGCTGGACCCAACCCTGCTGACTCCTAATCCAGTGCCGGTTGCCCCCTGCAGCCCCGCAATCAGGGGACCCCCAGTGGGGCACCTGCTTCTGTCTCAATACACTGAATCAGAATCCCAGGAGTGACCAAAACCCCAGGCAGGACCCAGTCAGGGAAGTGGGAGTTCAGGATGGGGGAGGCGACCCCCAACTGTAGGACTCCCAGGACATGACGCCACCAGCCTGCCTGGCAGGAAGCAGGTTGTGATATGTCTCACATGTCAGGCCGCAGCTTGATCTTTCACAAATGCCATCAGATGGGGCTTCTCTTGTGCTGCCCTTGCAGCCTGGATAGCTCTTCCCCCCACTGCCTTTTACACATGGCTGCCTGGATTCTGGGGCCCTTTCTGGAAAACAAGTTGAGTTGCCATGAAGATTAAACGTGTTTATGTAAGGAAGGCAGACCAGCACGTGGAGCAGGGCTTGTTACCGTTAATGTCTGTACATTTTCCACAAGAGATGTGCCTCACTGACACACCAGCAGGACGGGCATTGGCTACAGGGTCCAGTAGACCCCGGGAACTGGGGAGAGGGGCGAGGGAGTCCCTCCCATTCATTGGGTAGGTTGGTGGGATTGGGGGGATAGCCAAGTGGGGAGGAGGCACAGTGGCCGGTGGTGGAGTACTGTGGGGGCCTTGGCGGTAGGCCTGGTGGAATGTCACGTTTCTCTGGATCATCTACTGTGTTGTAAACCAGTATTACCATAATAATAAAAAATCTAAAAAACCACAGTGGTGGGGGGCAAAGGCACACACCCCTTTCTCTTCTCTCTGCCACCAGGTCACCACTGACCTTCTCTGTCCCTGTCTCCCCACCACAGAAGTACTTGTCCCAGCTGGCTGAGGAGGGCCTGAAAGAGACCGAGGGGGCGGGCAGCCCCAGGCCCGAGGACAGCGGAATCGTGCCTCACTTTGAAAGGAAGAAGCTCTGAAGGACACCCTGCCGCTGCTGGAAACAGAGGAGGGCCTGGGAGAGGGGCAGCCTGGCCTCCAGGCAGGAGCTAAAGCCCTGGAGGAAGGGAAGCCAGGCAGGCCGCACAGCCTGGGCTTGCCGTGAAAATGCCCCGAAGTGTCCCTGGAGGCGTCCTCTTGGGGTGTTCTGCCCCGTGAGGGTTGTCAGCTCTCTCCATCTTGACTCTTATTTCCTTCAGACAATCTTGCAATTAGCTTCTCTCTCTTCTTTCCCTCATTCCTCCCTCCCTTGTTCCCTCCTTCTGTGCCAAGGGTCATTTCCTTTCCATAAAATCCAACTTCTCAGGGATTTTTCACAGTGTTTAAGTTCTTGATGGGATGTGACAATTCGGGCCAGGCTAAGTTATTCCAGGAAAACTAAGAGTCTCTGCAGTGAACCTGGGTGGGTTTCTCTGCCTGGCAGCCCATGGACAGCCATGTGGGTCCGCAGACTGGAGAGGGGACGCCTGCATCACCAGTGGAGAGAAGCTGGGATTCCTTTAACTGCACCATCTTTTTTGGAAAGCCTCTGTTTTTAATGACTCCTTTATCCTCTCAATTATAATGGAAGTCTGACAGATTCATGCCTTAAACTAAAATTAAATTACTTTCATGGAGGAAAAGAGCCCTTCCTTCTGGAAGCTCTCATATGTTCCTGTCACACTTTTTTCATTCCTCTTGACTCCAGGAGATGCCAGGGTTTATTCCATTCTGGACAATGAATTTGGTATTGATTCACTTTAATTAAAAATGAGAACAGAAGTGTCTTCTCCCTCCAGCTGAAACAGCAATTGGTAAAGGCTTAAGTTGAAGGCTGGCCTCCCGGCCATGGGAGGCATTGGCTCAGGGGACACAAAAACAAGAAGCAACATCTGTCCTTGACTTACCCTTGGTGCCTGCACCTGGCCTCTGGCAGCCTCACAGTAGAATGATTCTAAATGGTCTCTGGGGTGGGAGAAGCTCAGGAAAGAGAAGAATGCAGGAAGGAAGAACAGCATTTGAGCGCCGGCTGTTTGTAGGTGGGCCTTTTCCAATTTGGCAGAAGGTCAAGGTTGTCTCAGAGGTGACTCCGTCTGCAGACTTTGATGTGAAAATGTTAAAAAGAACAGACCCCTTATTCCCACGGCTGTCGGGTACTGTGGAGGTCAGTGCTTTCCAGCCTCGGACGGGCTGCAGGGTCTGCTCTGCAGTCCCCCTGGAAGGGCTTGGGACAAAGGTGCTGGGGGATGGGGCTCACCACAGCCACAGAGGAGAGCCTGGTGCTGTTTCCACCAGCTGAGATGCTCGCCTGCAGGCTCAGACCCTGGAAGACAGTTCTGAAGGGATTTTTTATTTTTATTTTTTGCATTTTTCTTCTTATAGTAGATAAGAGTATTCTGCACATTCTGCCTTCTGTAATAATGGCAGATGGGTAGACAGATCACCTTACATTCTATCAGATAAAGGATAAAAATGTAGAGTATAAAACAATCGGGTAAACCTGGGGGCAAATGGTCCCAGGCAAGGAGGGAACTGTTGGGGGCCTGAAAGAGGAGGTCAGGCGGAAGCAAATGATCCAGCCTGGACCTGTGTGTCGAGGAGAGACCCGGGAGGCAGGAAACCTGAACCTGGCCTCAGGTCACGTGGGGCCGGAGCGCTCGGTTCCTAGAAGGGAATAGGTCTTGAGGATGTGTCTTAGCCCAGACCTCGTCTCCTGCTGCCTCCAGGGTTCTGGACACGGGCTCAGCCACCTCTGTTTCTCAGAAAACCTTTGATGCTATGTCTTTTATCCCACTGGACTCAAGTCTAGGGTCAGCAACTTGCTCTCCTTGCCTGACCTTGCTGGGAAAAACCTACTGCCTCCATCAGAGGAGAGAGCTGTGCATTTCCAGAGTGGCTGGAGTCCCTCCCCCAAGCAGAGTGGAAGCTGACCTCAACGCTCCTCCTCCCAGCAGCGTTTCCATGGAAACTGGATGGCTGTTCAAACCAGCCTCCTGCCTGAATAGTCTACGAGCACCCTTGCTGATAGACTGAACTTCTCCATATTGGAAAGTTGGAGAGAGTCCCTGGGAGGGCAAGAGAAAGGCTCCCCGTATCCAACAGAACCTTCAGTTTAAAAATCATCAAAGATTCTATATTTGTGTGTGTATATATATACATATATTTATTTTTATTTATTTTTATACAAGTCCATTGGCACGGTCCTTCACCCACTCTGATTTGCACTTTTATTCCTACATGTGTCATACACATTGCAGAGTTAGAGGCAACGAGGAAAATATTGATTTATTTTTTAAAGCTTTTCATCAGTGTTTGTCAATCATTTCAAAGTGTCTCCCCAAAAAGGTTGTTCAAGAGCAGCTGCTGTGTTGAGCAACAGATTCATCTGTACCCTGAGCTAAGGTAACAGAAACCCATAGATTCTCTTTTCACTGTAAACAACTGAAATAAAGCATAACCAGACAGTATTCCTGAAGAATTGGTCATTTGATGGTGGGATGAGCAGCATAGTGTCAGAGTTCCCCCTTCTTGGACAGTCTGAGGCCCCGATCTGTTAGATTATACTTGAACTGGACCAGACTTTGTTTTTTTTTTTTGAGCTTATGAGAAAAAATAACAAATGCTAGTTAATTTAAGTTTGAACTTGTAAAGTTTTGAAATTTGTTGAGTGTCCTATAAATCGTCACCACTTTTCCTGATCTGTATAACTGACCGCAAGTGTTTGTTTTTACAAAAGGGAAAAAAATGATTTTTAATAAAGAGAATTTGAAAGCTTGTGAGTGAGTAGCCTGGTGTCTTGCAGGGGTCCCCTCACCTTGGACTGGAACAGCTCACAGAGCACAGAGGTTGGGATTTGGTCCCTCTCTGAATCTGGAATGTTTCCAAAGGGTTGAACAGAGAAGACACACAACCTTTGTTGGGGCTCTGATCAGAGAAAATCCAAGATTCTCAGGGATGAACCCCCAAAAACACTGAGCCAGGAAAGTGGGAATTTCATTCCTTTTTGGAGGCTCAGATAGAAAGTCTGGCTTCCTTAGGTTTAAAAGGAGACAATGATATTGGGAACAACTGAATCACCTCCCCAGTTGTTTCAGGATTCAGAGAACTGCCGGTGAAAGCACTTGTTTGCTGCAAAGTGTTGAATCTTGTTTTTTTTCCTGCAATCTGTACTTTGGATAATGCGCCAAATTTCAGTGCTTCTTAAGTTCTTTCTCTAGCAAAACAATGCCAGTCTCCTAGGCCCAGTTGGCCAGTCCTCTGAATGGCCTGGAAGCTTCTCTGTGTCCTCCCCTCTTGTTGGCAGTGCTCCTGAGTCAACGGGAAGGGGCTGGGCAGTGTAATTAGTGGGAGCAGATTGTAGATCTGAGGAAAGTTCCAGTTCAGCCTGTTGCTGTTCCTCTGCCCCACCCCCAGCTATTGTGGCCTGCCCCTGGCTGAGCTGAGGCCTCCAGTTCCCAACCAGCAGGGGTGGAGAAACATCCTTCCCTCCAACTGCTGGCTACCTGCCAGCTGGCCAGAGTAGTGAATGGGCCTACAGTTGGTTCTGCCGCCCTAAGTTCAGGCTCCTGAACGTTTGGGGTACCGCTGGGGCCTATACCTGGAATTTTTTTCCTTGTGGCACAGTCTCTGGGGTGCTTGGCACCTTCTATAAGGTGCTCCCCTGGGGATACCCTTCCAGGGAACCCTCTGGGTTGCAGTGCCTCCTTGCCTGGCTGTTCCCCATTCGCTCTCTGGCTGTTCTCTGGGATCTAGAACGTGGTTCTGAGGCATTTTACTAGGCTGGAGCCCTGACATTCAGAACCACTGAGTGCTTGTGCCTCCGTTCAGGGTTTAGCTCCAACTGGCCTGGCCTGGCTCTGCCATGGCCTGGGAGTTAGTGTTGCTCCTCTAAGCACCCCACCAGGCCAGGCTACATAGATACTAATCCTGGCCCCCATCTGGCCCAAGACCTGAACATCAGTAGTAAGTGTTGGCCATCCCCCGAGGCAATGATGGGGCATCTGGACTCACTCCCTATTCTCTTTTCCCACCATGCCAACCCTACAAAGCAGCCTGTCCCAAGTGGATTCCAAAAATGTTGGAATAAGATGGCCCTGAAGATCCCCTGGCCCTTCCTTTTGTAGGTGAGAACACGGAGGCCCAGAGAGGAAAAGTGACTTGCCTAAGGCTGCACAGCTTATTAGTATAAGGCAAATTGGAATCCGTATCTCCTGGGTGGTCCTGCTGGGGGCTCACATGGAGGGAGGTTTTGGGTTTTTCAATTAGGTTAGCTCGTGAGCCAACCAGCTAGGTATAGCCTAGCTGGACTTTGGCACTTAGACGGAATGAAAACAAATTACTGATTCTCATGCTTTGTGTACATCAGAACGACCCAAGGAGCTTGCTAGAAATAGGGGTTCCTGGACCTCTCCTTGGGGATTCTCTCTCACTTAGTGATGGGGAGGCTTTGGGTATTTGCATTGTAGCCAGCCTGGTGGGTGATTCAACACAGGTGGAGCCCACTTCTCATTCTTTGCAAAGCTCAGCCCTAGATGTCAACCAGGGACTTGCCCAGCAGCTCCTGAAATAGTAGGCACTTTTACTTTACTGTGGGTCCGGGGGTGGGAAGGGGTGGAGAGGGCAAGAGAACTGTAAATGGAGACTACAGAGTGAAAAAGGTGGAGTACGGAAAGGAGGTCAGCAGATAGAAATTGTGGGAGCTGGAGTTGGGGAGAAGAGGCAGTCGTCAGACTGGATTTGGGGCCCAGGTCAGGATTGCTTGGCGGGATTTGTCCTAACTGTACTCAGGCAGTCAGTTTTCCAGCACCCTCTTGATCCTCATCTATGGCTGAAAGCACTGTGGTTATTAAGGAGAGGCCTGGAGATCGGACGACAGCCCCGCCCCTCAGGGCCCAGAGCTGTGCAGTCAGCAGATTGGGGGAGACTGGCGTTACAGGGAAAGGCATCTCCAAGGGCCATGTCACCACTAGCAAGGAACCCTGGGGTTCACACATACCTTATCTCCTGCCCTCCTGATCCACCGCTAATACCAGCACTAGTCCTGTAGAGTCTTTCTTTTTTTTTTAAAAGATTTATTTATTTGTGCATACAAGAGCTGGGGTACAGGCCAGAGGTGTGTGTGTGAGGGGGGGTGGTGAGAGGATTCACCAGAGACAGAGTGGAGAGCAGAACAGGCAGATTGACTGAAATACACTGCTGAGGGGTACAGTGGGCGAATCAGGAGAGGTCTGCTGCGCCATGTGGGTTTCTCCCTGGCCTGGTAGGGATCGAACTCATGCTAAAGAGGCTGTGGATTGCTTCATAGTGTGGTGCTTAACCCCTTGCGCCACCAGGGAGGCCCAGTCCTGTGGATTCTTAAGTCGTCCTACGTGCCACTCTCTGTGCATCCTGTGGGGACGTGTCTCTTGACCTCTTTTTAACACTGAGAAACAGGTAGTGTTGTTCTCCCATTGTGTAGGTGGGGGAGTGAGACTTAGAGAGCCAAAGTGGTTTGTTCTGGGTCAGACCATCAGTAAACAGCACAGTTGGGATTTAAACCACGATCTGGTAACTCAAACCATGTGCTTAACCACCATTCTCCACCGCCTGTCTCAGGGCTGGGCTCTGTCTTGTTCCTGCTTGTTTAAGGAGGTAAAGCCTCTGGATCCTGCATCCCCAGCTGCAGTGGGCTGGAGTAGGTAGGAGCCCCTAGTTTAGCTGCACTTCATACAGGTGCTTATGACTGACCTCTTGATTATTAAATTCCTGAAACACATCTCCCCAGCATCTCCCCTTCTTAGAAAGTAGCTAATGAAAGTGCCCCCATCTCTTGTGCCCACACACTGAATTTCAGGAAAACAGGCAGGAAGGCCAACAGGGTGAAAGAAACATGTTCTTCCTTTTCCTCACTCAGAAGAGTTTGCAGGGGAATGGATTTGGGAGATAAGAGAATGAGGAGGACTTGGGGGAAGGGATTCCATTCCTTCTGATTCTGGAATGGGAGGATAGCACCCCGTTCTCTGCTCTTGGGGAATGTAGGGGCTATAAGGGGATAGCAGAAGGGGATTTCCCATGGCCCCAGCATGCCATCTGGACTTTGCACTTTTAACCCCTCCTTCCTGAATGAAACTTCATTGCTTATTTAGCTGCAACCTCTTTCGAATAAGTACTTAAAGTGATACACAACACTGGCCATGCATGTCCAGAATAAGCCCCAGAAAAATTTTAAATGAGGATTAACGAAAGCTGGAGACAGCGAGTGTGTGAGCTGTGAGGACTGATGGAGTGGTGGTGGTTAATAAACGTGAAATGTGACTGCAAGCCTCCTGGGAGCTGAGACAAAAAGAGGAAGCATGCTCCATTACATGCCTCTCCTCATTGTAATAGAGAGCACATCACGCTTTATCTGGGGAAACTGTTTCACCTGCCCTTATATTCTAGAACTTTCCTGTAGAACTGTGCATGGTATATGGGTAGAGGCACAGAGATTCTTAGAGAAATCCTTAGGGAGCCCAAAAGTTGGAGAAGAGCATAGTGGCAGCCCCTCTGGCAGGTTCATGAGGATGATTCCTGGTCTGTGTGAAGTGATTCCTGAGTTAGAGTGACCCCTCCCAGGGCTCAGGCCTGCCTAGCCCATGTGAAAGGGAGTGTGTTGGCTAGTTTCTGGGCTAGTTTGCTCTTTTTTTTTTTTTTCCAAACTTTGTTTTTCAAACTTTTCCTCTTACTTAGCTAAGCTTCTGAGAGTCACGTCCATAATACAAGGAGGCCACTGCCATCTGACCACCCAGCATACCCACCTGACGACAGAATACTTTGGGTGACAGCCCTGCCTGCCCAGGTTATGGGGAAAACCCTGCTGGTGTTTACTCTTTGCCTCCCATAGACAGGCAGGAACCCAACCTGACCAGGAAGCACTGCCTGCCTGAGGCTGAGCCTGGGAACCACTCAACCCTGTGTGATAATGACCGGCCCTGGGGACAGGGTGCCGAGTTGCCACTGTTTGCCCATGAGATCTCTCATCCTTACTGTCTGCAAGACCAGGAGGGAGAGAACTTTCTGGATGGTTGTGGGAATCGGGATCCCTCAAAGTCCCGGGGGCAGATCCATAATGAAACTAGCTCACTCTTAGATGA